CTAAGGGTCATATGGCTTCTGCTGAAGGTGGTGAGGAAGATGACATCCAAGGGATGGAACAAGCGAACCTAACTCCATTAAGTGAAGAATGTGTAGAAGAAGCTGAAATCTCTCTTAATGCAGTAGTTGGAGGAGAGGGTATCAACACAATTAAGTTACCAGGATCAATTCTCAAAAAAGATATCATTATACTAGTGGATTCTGGAAGCACCCACAGCTTCATTGACCCAGCTTTGACTCATAATCTCAGACTGAAAGCATACACGGTACAGCCCCTAGTTGTAACAGTAGCCAATGGGGAGAAATTTTTATGTGATGAGATGAGTGGAAACGTAGAATGGATGATGCAAGGAGAGCCTTTCCAAAAATCCTTTAGAGTGATGAAATTAGGGGGTTGTGATATGTTGTTGGGAATGGACTGGATTGATTTGTTTGCCCCTATTGAACTGCACACAAGGCCCTTAAGTATATCATTTCACAAGGATGGGAGAAGAATTAATCTCAAAGGGATAACTCCCAAGAGGAGATTGAGGGAGGCTAGTAAGAAGGAGGTGAAAAATTGGCAAAAGCAAGGAGTGAAGGGATTCTTGGTTTGTATTGACAAGGAAGAAGAAATGAATGCAATACAAGGGAACTCCTACAACATTAAAGGGACAAAAGGTCCTTTAATCCTGGCACCTCCCAGGATCAAGGAGATACTGTCAGAATTTTCAGGCTTATTCCAGGAACCTAACTCACTGCCACCTATCAGGGCTTGTGACCATTCAATTCCATTGATCCCCAATGCTATTCCAGTTAACAAAGGACCCTACAGGTACTCATTTGAGCAGAAAAATGTTATAGAAAGGATGGTGGACGAAATGCTACAGACTGGAATCATCAGGCCCAGTTCCTCACCTTTTGCCTCCCCAGTACTGTTGGTACCAAAGAAAGACTCAACCTGGAGGTTTTGTGTAGATTATAGAGCATTGAATGCCATCACCATCAAGAACAAATACCCCATTCCCATTGTAGAGGATTTGTTCTCGGAGTTAGCAGGATCCCGATTTTTCTCTATGGTGGATTTGAGATCAGGATATCACCAGGTGAGAATGAGGGAAGGAGAGGAGTATAAAACAGCATTCAAAACGCACCAAGGCTTATTTGAGTTCACTGTCATGCCTTTTGGTCTTACAAATGCACCCGCCACTTTTCAAGCATTAATGAATTCTGTGTTTAAGCCACTTTTAAGAAGGTGCGTGCTGGTTTTCTTTGATGATATATTCATTTACAGCCCCAACTTGGAGGAACACTTACAGCATTTGAGAGCAGTGTTCAACATCATGAGGGAGCAACACTTGTATGCCAAGCTAAGTAAATGTTCCTTTGCTCAACATCAAATAGAATACTTAGGGCACATTATATCTGTGGAAGGTTTACAAACTGACCCTGAAAAGATTAAAGCGGTTATGAGTTGGCCCAAGCCTCACACTGTCAAGGAGCTTAGAGGGTTTTTGGGATTAGCTGGATATTACAGGAGATTTGTGAAGGGTTATGGGATCATCTGCAAGCCTCTCACCAATTTATTGAAGAAAAATGACTTTAGTTGGGACCAAGCTGCCGAAATAGCTTTTGAAGAGTTAAAACATGCCTTGTGTACTGCCCCTGTACTAGCCTTACCCAATTTCAACTTGGAATTTGTTGTGGAATCTGATGCTTGTCCTAAGGGTATGGGAGCGGTTCTCATGCAGGAGGGGAAACCCATTGCCTACTACAGTCAAGGATTTAATTCTAAGCACTTAGGACTATCCATTTATGAGAAGGAGTACCTCTCCATCATCAATGCTGTGGATAAATGGAGGGCATATCTCTTTGGAAGGCACTTTGTGATAAAAACAGACCACCAGAGTCTAAAATTTCTGCTAGAACAGAAAATTACCACAGCATTGCAGCAAAAAGGCTTAGTCAAGTTATTGGGACTGGACTTCTCAATCCAGTATAGAAAGGGCATAGAGAATGTGGCTGCAGATGCTTTGTCAAGAATGGAGGAGGGAAGTCACGCCGAGAGTAGCATGGTAGCATCAACTCAACCTAAATGGATGGAGGAAGTTCTGGAGAGTTATAAGGATGATGAATGGGCTAAGGAACACCTCACAACAACACTAATTGTCTCCGACAACCCGGATAAATTCACAGTTACTAATGGGATGCTGCGATACAAAGGGAGGTTATATGTGGGAAGCCATGGAAACTTGAGAATGAATCTTTTGAATGAGCTACATTCTACTGCTTTGGGGGGACACTCTGGGCAATTGATCACTTATAAAAGGATGAAAAATTTGTTTTATTGGCCTGGTCTTAAGAAACAAGTCATAGACTTTGTCAAGGAATGCGATGTTTGTCAAAGGTGCAAAGGAGAACAGATTCTTACTCCGGGATTGCTTCAACCGCTTTCAATACCTGAGGAGGCTTGGTCCAGTATTTCTATGGACTTTATTGAAGGTTTGCCTAAATCTCATGGAAAAGATGTGATCTTGGTTGTAGTGGATAGGCTGACAAAATACAGTCACTTTTTAGCATTATCTCATCCTTTTAGTGCTGAACAAGTGGCTGAGTTATTTGTGGATCAGGTTTACAGGCTGCATGGACTGCCCCAAAATATTGTCTCTGATAGAGACAAGATTTTTCTGAGTAAGTTCTGGAAAAGTTTGTTCAAACAGCTTACAGTCCAACTTAGCTATTCCACAGCTTACCATCCTCAAACAGATGGCCAGACTGAGAGGGTGAATAGGTGTTTGGAGACATATCTGAGATGTATGACCTTCCAAAAGCCAAGACAATGGGTAAAGTGGTTGTCACTAGCAGAATTTTGGTATAATACTAACTTTCACACTTCACTTAAATTATCTCCATTTGAAGCCTTGTACGGTTATAAACCTCCATCAATAGCAGTGGACATCATCAAAGGAGGAACAACAGAGCCTCAACTGGAATGGATTAAGAACAGAAATGAGCTTCTGAAACAGCTAAAAGACAACTTAATGAGAGCCCAAAGTAGGATGAAACACTATGCAGATAAGAATAGATCAGAGAGAGAGCTTCAGGTGGGTGATTTGGTGTTCTTAAAACTTCAACCTTATAGACAATCATCAGTGGCAGTAAGAACTAATGTGAAATTAGCAGCCAAATATTATGGGCCCTATGAGGTGTTGGAAAGAGTTGGTCCTGTTGCCTACAGATTGCGATTGCCACCTGGATCCCTCATTCACCCTGTCTTTCATATCTCCCAACTCAAGAAGAAAGTAGGATCCAAGGAGGTGCAGAAGCAACCCCCTGCCACAGGGCCGGATGGTGATATTCTTGCAGAACCAGTAGCTGTTTTGGGGAAAAGGATGGTCAAGAAGGACAATGCTGCACAAGTTGAAATCCTTGTTCAGTGGGCTAACCTGCCTCTTGAGAATGCTACCTGGGAGGAATTCCACCATTTAACTAAACAATTCCCAAACTTTGATCCTTGGGGACAAGGATCTGTTCAAGGGGGGAGTAATGTTATGAACCAAGGAGGTTAATCTGAGCAATATGGTTATTTAGAGTTATTTTCCTTTTGTTATTTCCCTTTTGTTGTTTTCTGTTGCAGTTTTGTTGTTTTCTACAGCTGTTAAATTCTATCAATAGTCCCTTATTTTTAGGAGTTTGTTATTTATCAGCTTTTAAGTGATACTGTGAAGGATTGGCAGGGCTATGACATGAATGAAATCATTTTTCTTTCTTCATTCTCTCTGCAATTCTTCATCTTTACCTCTTTTCTGCAAATCCTCATCTCTTTTCTCTCTGTCACTCTACTATTAGTCCCCAGGTTCTCACACCATCAGACGTCCCCGCCGTCCATCAGCCGTCCGCCGCTCTCCATCCTCACTGTCGCTGCTTCATCGTCCACCGCAAGCCGCCCAAGGTCGCCGCCGCTGCCGCCCAAGCTCGCCACCGCTGACGCCTCTGGTCTCCACGCTCGCCGCTGCAGCCACACACGCCGACTGCCGCCGCAGCTACGCACGCCGGCCGACCGCAGGTACGTAATTTTTAATTTTTTTTTTTTTTTGTTATTTCTTTGCATACTCGCTGGGAAAGAAATAATCCTTAAATTTCTTAGACTTGTTTTTGGCGCTTCTTGCAAACGGATAAATGATGACAAATTTTACGATGACTGCAGTATATACTGAACAGAACAGAACATCCACATCAATGAATCAGATTTGATAATTGAAGAAAAAACAAAAAAAAGCTCTCTTGGAATGTTGTCCTGTGATCTATACCTTTACCCCTCTCTGCAGTATGTAGTAGGAGTTAGGTGTTTCAATTGATTCTCAAGAAATTAATGGAGGTGTATATATTTTCCCAGTCTTTTGATTCACATTTAAGAGGGGTAAGTGCTTTGAAATAATCCCCTCATATATATATATATACATACATAGATTCTTCATCCAAACGATTGTAATACAACTGTGTGTAATAATAATCTGAGGTTTTCTATCTGGCAAATGCTTTGGCATTTGTCTTTCTGTTTCAGATTCCAGGAATGGTTCATTGGGTTATAGAGTCTATTGGTTCACTATATGACATGATGCATTTTCATCTTTTGACATGGTATATAGTGAAACAGAAATTAGCTAATTGATTTGGTTAATTTTATCTTTACTAAATCTATCTTATCCGAATAATTCTCACTTGCAAATTTGCAATTTCCTTATAATCTTGTAATTTTGTAGAGGATTTATCTTTTCCTATGTTGCTTTTGTTTATGAGAGATTGAGAGGGAGAGAACTGCTTATGTTATACTGTTCATGCAGTTAGCATTGATATAGTTGATGAAGAAATCACATTCTATAGAGCCAATGTCTTCTTCCAAAACTTTGATATTCAAATTCAGCAGATAAGCTCCTTATCTATTTGACATTATACATAAATGTGGCATTGAAGAGTCTTGAAGGCTTCACAACTTTAGCTGAAGGTACTAAGGCTATAATAAACTTAGGACATGAAAATGTTCCTGTAGCTGGGGAGAAAGGTTTTCCCTTCCCTTGGTTGTTCAGTTCAACAAAATCTCAAAAAGAAGCGGGTAAGTGAAAAATGAAGGATGTACTATATGCTATTGAAAACTTATACTTGTGGCTTCAATTCTTTATTGCAGTTGTTACTGTTACTGATAAAAGCCATGTAAAAATAAATTAATCAACTTCAATTGTTTTCTTTGGATTTGTCATTTTGTTACTCAATTACCACAAGATGAAATATTCCAATTTGCTTGTTTCACTATTATCTCAATATTTGCATCTCAGACCATTAAGTCTACACCTCTTCAAAATGGTCCACCTTATATGCTTGACCGTTAACTGTAAATAGCATTTTAAGCCTTACAATGGTCTGATAATGGAATATATTTTCTGCGAGATTCTTTAGTGGCAACTAAAATCTTGTACTGAACTATTGACTTTTTTTTTTTTTTTTTTTTTAATCATAGAGCTATTTAGAGATTACCTGAAGCAAATAAGGGAAGAGACAAGTTGGAGATTACTCAATGTTGCATTTCGGGCTAATAGGACTCCGAACAAATGGTGGCTAGCATTTGCAAAGAGAAGATTTATGAACATACTTGATGATTGAGGCTTAGTCTTTTAAAAGAGATGTAGAGAAGATTACTACTCCTCTTGACAAAATAATTGCTTGTCAAGTTTCAAAAGGCAAGAGAGGTTTCCTTTTAAACATTTCTATTTACTACTCTGATCTATACACTCGACCAATGCTTTCTTCCATAAGAAATTAAAGAAAGCAGGATTAGGGCCACATCCATCAAAGGTTTGGTTTTCCGATCCATTTTCTTAATCAATTTTTAACTATACAACATATATAAAGACAACTAATTTGCTGGCATTAATCCACGAGTTATCTTTGGTGTTCTTAGCTGGTGAATATCCATTTCTGTGTAGATTTGATAAACAATTCACAAGAAGAAGTTCGTCATAAAGTTTTGGTTAGTGCAACTGCAGTTGGCTATTATATTATGGTTTCATATTAAATTCTTTCGATTTCTTAAATTATAGAAGACCACATATAGTATTCCAGTCTGATTTTCAAATTAAATCACAGGTACAATGGAGAACCATAACAGTTTACTTGGGATTAGAGAGTATATATCCTTCTTTTAGAGAGAAACATGTTGATGCAGTATGTTGGTTCCTCTTGGGATGACTTAAAACATGTAATGCAGGTTGTAGGATTCTTGGTATGTTTTCTTGTTTGCTTTATGACAAAGTTGTTTCGATTTTGAACATGATTTCATATTCTTTGATAGAAGACCAAATTTTATGTCATGGGTGGACTGCTTTGCAGCTATGGACTTTAAGACAATAGTGAGATGACTTTCTTACCAGTCTTCTGACTTAAACTGATTTAAAATTTTCAGGTTTTGCAAGAGAAAGCAAAGATTACATACGATGATCTTACAACTGACTTGTGCCCTGTAAGCTATTTTATGAGTACTCAATGCTTTACGTGTTTTATTTATTTATTTATTAAATAATCATAATGTCCAGCCGTCCAAACAAGCACTAAATCTTCTGCATATTTGTTCTTTTATAGAGACCTTCACTTTATGAGATTGCCTTGTAGATTTCTTCCATGTTTTAAACCATTTTGGTCTATTTTATTCTAGGTGGTTGCCCTGTTATAAGAGGAAACAAGTGGTATTCTACTAAGTGGATGCATGTTGGTGAGTACAAGCTCTATTTATGAGATTTCAGCAACATGCACTCAGACAGTTTGATGAGGATATTTCAGCAGATGTATGTTTCTCATAACATTTTGAATGTTTGATACATTTTAATTGTTAACATTTAGAATTTGTAGTAAAATGTTGAAATATATTATTTGGTAGTTATGCTGGGATGTACAGGAAAATATTGGTAATTTTATAAAAAAAAATGTTTTTTTTTAAATTTTTTTTACTATACGCGTCCAAAGTTCAGAAACTTTGGACGCGTAAAGTATTTTTTTTAAAATAAATAAACACTATACGCGTTCAAAGTTCACGAACTTTGGACGCGAATAATCATTTTGCGCATCCAAAGCTACTTTGGACGCTGATTGTATACAATCAGCGTCTCGACATCTGCGTCCCAGCTACTTTGGACGCGAATTAGCCTTAACTTTGGACGCGAATGACTGTTTCTGTACTAGTGATATAATTTAAGGAATATAATTAATGAAGAACTAAAGGTACCAAGTGGTCTAATGGTATCAAGGTTGCACCTTATATGGGAGGTTGGTTGTGAGTTTGAGCTTTAGTGGAAGGTAGTATTGGATTTTTATGCTTCAGTAGGTTGAAAAAGCAGTTATGAACAGATACTACATTGTAATAGAGTCAACGCAACAATAAAAAAAATTTAAGATTATTACTCCGTATTATTATTATAGATTAAAAAACATAATACATTCATACCCTTAAAAAGTTTATTTTGCATGTAACCAACTATCATTTAACAACTAATTTACAAAATATCTTTTTACAACCAGCTAATGCTATCAACTAATCAAAACCCGCTAACCCAATTCGCTAATAGCTATCAGCTAAGTCAATTCAATATCGGCTATTGGTTAACCACTATTTGTAGAACACCCATAATCAACTATCAGCTAATTGTTAATCATTGTCATATTGAACTATATATTCACAATTACAAAACTCTATTTTATATTCCCAATTGTTGAACTCTGTATTCACAAATCACTGAACTATATGTTCATAATTTGATAACTATATAGTTTAGAAATTATGAATATATAGTATAGAAATTATGAATCTATAGTATAGGAATTATGAATCTACAGTTTAGAAATTATGAATCTATAGTATAGAAATTATGAATCTATAGTATAGAAATTATGGATCTATAGTATAGAAATTATGGATTCAATTCCGTGTGCACCTTGCATGGTGCATACGATTGTACAACATTACGCTCCTACTTATGAAGTACCTGATCCGTTTCACGGATGAGGATCTATAAAACGGGTCTCGCCATAAGAAAAGAATTATAAATATACTCCTATAGTTTTATATATTTATATGTTTAGTCATGGATCATGATAAGTAAAACATTACTCGTATGCTATGCCTTATAACCTCAAATTGTACTGTATCTTTTTCACACTTTGTGATTTCAACCCACATGGTCCATATGGAACTTTGCAATTTGCATAACATGCCTTGCCGCTTATGACTTTTTTTCCTCTCCAATCTTTACCATTTAATTTCAAACCTTCTTATTTACATCATTTTGCTTGTCCCATATTATAATATATATTATTTGAAAAGGTCTTGTAACCCTGAAACTACACAAATAATAATTAGAAATATGGATGAATTTATAAATTTCGTATTCTCTTTGCTAATAGAAAGGAGAAAAACCCCCCAAATTAGAATTACAAATTAACAAAACCATAAAAAAATTACTTAACCTATGGCAATGTTAATGATAGTCAATTTCTAGGTAGTGCTGCAGCCTGCAGGAACAAGACGTATGTATGCATGTATTAATAGCATCCATAATAGTTGAGATATTTTGTGATTTTTGAGAAATTTTTGTAAGTGTGATTAGGAAAGAGAATATGGGAGTGGAGAGAAAAAACAAAAGAAAAAAAATAATAAAGCAAAACTAAATTAAAAAAAAAAAAGAATAATGCAAATCAGTTAAAAGTTCTTGCGTTTTACAAAACATGTACTCCGTATTAAGCTTTGCAGTGTAACAGATAAAATTCTCTCTCTAGATCGAATTTCTTGGGTTTTCTCCTCTCTAGGGTTTCTCCTTGTTTCATCGTTTCACGATCAATACTCCGGCGTATCACCAGTCATTCTCTAGCACTCTCCTTTGGTGCTTCGCTTAATCCAGTTACGTACGGTGAACTGCATGACGTTGGCGGGATCAGGGAGTGATGTTCCGGCCATCACGGAAAGATGGGCCGACATGGTGTGACAACCCAAAATTTAATTTTCTAAATCCCATTTTAAGAAATTCCAAAACAGCCAATTTTCACTCTTACAAAAAATTCTGCGATAAACACGGTGTTTGAATAAATTATTTTAAATGAATTTTTAAGTAAGTTCAACACCGAGAAGTTTTAGTTCTAAAATCCTAAATTTTCGGGTACATGGCATACCAAATTTTGACCTGGATTTTATTCTGAGTGAAATCGGGAGAAGTTTGAGAAGCCTAAATCAAGTACGTGTTCATCTAGAAATCATTTTTAGGAAATTCCATTTTAACCCCAAACTATTATAGAATCTTGAATCTAGCCTTTGGTTCATGAAGCATGGTGGACCACAAGCCTCCACATTTTTCCTCTTGTCTGATGCTTTATTGAAACCTCTAAAATTACATTTTTGCCATCCATCAATCATAAGAGAATCTCCTAGGGTTTTGCACCCTATAAAACCCACCTTATTCCCTCGTTGATTCCCTGATCTCATTCCCTTGCCTTTCCAAGCCTTGTCTGATAGAAGAGAACAACACTTACAGTAAGTTTCATCCTTCATTTTCCATTCCTTCACTTTGCTTCTAGTGTTATTTCCTTGGCCCCATTCTCTGAGTTTTTTCTTAGCTAGCTTGTGTTGTTATTTGGGGTGCTAGGTGGTGAAGGTAGTGGTGGAGTTTGAGTGGAGAGGAGGATGAGGTCCAAGCAAGAAAAAAAAAACTACAAAGGTATAACCCCATGGACTCCCTTAAGCTTTAAAGACTCTGTGAAGTTTATTTTTGAGGTGTTAATGCTTAGAAATGTTAGATTTTTATTGAGGTTGAGCTATTAAGTGATATATTGTTTATATTTGATGTGTTGTTGATGATTTGGGAGTGTTGGGTTGTCCAAATGTTTGTTGCAGATGAAGAAGTGGTGGCCACTGGTGCACGGCAATATGCATCAGTCAGACTCACGGAGCTAGCCACGGTTCTAGGCAAGGACCGTGGACTAGTCCGTGGTGAACGGCCCTCTGGGCACGGCTCTTGGGAAGAGCCAGTCCCCAAGGCCGTAGCTGGGCGGAACCCAAGCAGCAGGGCATCTCAAGCCCTGCCGCAATCTCTGGCAAGCGATGCCTGTGTAGTAGCCGCACCCTTTGTGGGCCCTCGAGGTTCAGACACTCGGGATCGTCACGACGCACGCGTAGGATTTGATTTTGTTGATTTTGGAGTAGAAGTGAGAAATTTACAAGAGAAATTTTGAAATTGAAGGTTATGTATATTACTCTGTGTGTACTTACAGAGAAGGGAATATGAAGTTTCTGCTTTGGCTACTTGTTTAAAGAGCTTGACAATTGTTAAATTGTTAACTATGGAGTATGTTCATTATTTGATAAGTTTTGCTAGATAAGCATGCCTAAATGTCTTTCATGATTTGTTGAGTTTATTTGTCAAGTGTTAGAAATATGAAAGTGTACAGACCATGTTTTATTGAATGCTAAATTGCAAAAAATGAGCTTATGTTAATTATTTTGAGTTCAAGAGCATGCTAACTACTTGGTAAGTGTGTCAAGAAGAATTGTTAAGTAATGAGTTAGATGCATGTTTTGACACTTGTTGAGAACTCACAGTGAAAGTGAAATTGAAGAAATTCTTGTAGAAAGGTGCATATTTGAGCATATCTTGTTTTAAAGTGCATTAGTGGTTTAGTGAAAGCCTAAGTATACTTTCAAAAACCTATATCTATTTTGGAAAATCAGTATCTAGTTGCATTGAGAAGCTGCATGATAGTTGATTTCCATTGCATGAGAAAAGTTGACTTGTTGAGAAGTTATGTGCACGAGATTGCACAAGTAAAGTTGTTGCACGAGTTATATATATATATATATATATATATATATATATATATGTATATGTATATATATATATATATATATGTATATATATATATATATATATATATATATATATATATATATATATATATATATATATATATATATATATATATATATATATATAGTGTGAGTATTCTGAGGTTCTGGAGGCCCGTTAGGACTATGTCCTTTCGGAAGAAAAGAGATAAGATCGGATATAACCGACAAAACTGTGACAAGAGAAAGTAAACAGACATTGCCATCCGATATGAAGTAACAAGGCGTATTCCCACGTTTCTAGGTTGGAAACTGCCCGCCAGGCTTGGAATCTTGGTCAGGGGGTGCACACTGATAGTTCAATACCTGATTCCACGGAGTTTTGAGAAAAGAACCACGAGATTGGTTCTGTGGGCGAGATGAGTATTCGGCCGGCTAGATGCCGAGCTCGGACAGGTCCATTCACACGTGGTGAAGTTCCTGTCTCACCCGCAAGTAAAGAAAGAAAGAAAGCGAGTCAAAAGACACAAGAGAAAGATAGCGAGTCAAGAGACTCGAGAGAAACCTCCATAAAACAAGAGTTACTTTTTACCAAAGAAAGAGTGTATATGTATATCTATCTATACCTATACAAAAGCATCATGTTTCTTTACTGCATGATTAAGATATTTGCACGTCTTGCATGAGAGTGAGACATGAAGCATGACTTTGTTTTGTCATTATTGAGATTGATTAATGGGATTATGTGATAGCATGTGATTGTTTATTGAGATATGTGGAAGTATGAATTTATTTATTTATCGATTGAGTCAAACCATGCATATTTTATACTTAGGTTGCAAGCATGTAGAAGTACTAGTGAATATGATTAAGTGTTGATGATGTCTTAAGTCTTCTTGATGTCAGTGTTTGTGAAAACTGTTTTC